GCGCCAGTGGAGTTGTGTTATGTGGTTACGCATCATTGCACTCTGCCATTATTGTTATCTGTAGCTGCGTGTTTTCCGTGCAGCAAAATAATCTATTCGCGCGCAACGCAAAACCGAAGGCAATGTACCGTAATTATTTGATGATTATTTGAATTTTTTCTCGTGAGGTAGTTGAATACTGTAGATTATTTTTTTCGGAATATAAAAATGCCAAATAAAGAGAGAAGAAAAATAAAAGAAAAGGAACTCAGAGAAGACACAAAACGATGCAGGACGCATCGGAAAATTAATGATAACAATTTGATCTTTAGATAAAGAGCTACTTATTTTTTATGTAAATATTAGGTAAGTTAAATTACCTTTAGTATTGAAAGCGTAGTTTAAGTATTAGTTATTGAGAAAAACTATGAAGAAAAACTAAGTTAAAGAAATATATTAAAATTTAAAATTGAAAGGAAAACGATGAAGAAAAACTAAGTTAAAGAAATATATTAAAATATAAAATTGAAAGGAAAACGATGAAGAAAAACTAAGTTAAAGAAATATATTAAAATATAAAATTGAAAGGAAAACGTTAAGAAATAAACGCATACAAAATGTTACTTTAAGTAATTATATGTTCCCTATATCATTGTTTATTTTTCAATACAGTATATACATTTATAACTTTATTTTTAAGAAAAATTAAAAGTGGGACGATCCCACGAAAAAGAAAAAAAACCCTTTTTTTTATTTCTTTAATCTGAAATGCTCACAAGCCCGTATTCAGGAGTTCCGCAATCCAATAGGCTGGTGGTATATTGAGTGAATATAGTCTGGTGTTGCCCAAAAACTATGTTTACAATTAGGCCTATTTTGTCATACTTGGTATTGAACTTAATGCACTAGAACGTAAAAACGTAAATTTTTCCCCCTTTGCGGCCCCCTAGCTTCAGCCTAGTTGCTCGCTTCACTCACAAATAACGCACCCCGCGAATTCTGAAAGCTTCGCTAAATTGCTCCGAGTTCAGCTTGCCCCCTGCGTTTTCGTTTCGACCCCCCCTTAGATTTTTCACCGTACGCCCCTGTCAGGCATCCATTAACATTTTTCGAAAGTGTTTCTGGGGAAAGAACGATTTAGGGGTTTCAAAGGCTTATCTAATCGACTTTCTATACTGTAGATAGTATACTAATATTTTTTTTTTCTGATTAGCAAGGAGTTAATGGTTTTGTACCATACTGTATCAATATTAATTGTTAAGATATATATTTATATTTTTAGCTGAAAGGAAAATATGTCCTTTGGTCGCACATTCGGAACCTCTACGAATGGGATGCTGGGATGGACAGGAGTACGCCTGGACTTCGAATGTTGCACAAGCTGACGAATGACCATGTCAATCTAACGCCTGCCTCCCGTATGTGAGTGTATCTAGCGGGACAGGTAAGCTGTGTTTTATAGTAGCTTTAAGTTAATATTGATGTTTGCCCGCCAAAAATAACTTAATAAGACTGATCACAGAATATTCTGTTTATCTTTCAGGTTTTGAGTATCGAATGCACTAGTGATACAGGGCAAAGAAGAAACTGAGTCGACGCGCTATTTCATCAACATGTTTGATAGATTTTTTGATTGCTTAAACGTTTCCAACACAATTACATGGAAGTTGCAAAACAAGCCTGATTGTAGACCGTATGAAGACGTGAATCAATCAATCAATCAATCTTTATTTTTCCATCATCAATAAATACCCATGAATAATTTTTTATGATCAGTAATGATATTGTTAGAGAATGTGGGTAACATTCCATTGTTGTATTTAAACATAAATATACCTAGTTCTTTCTTGTATAGATCAAAAACATTCAATAGATTTGTTTTTCAAATAAAGGCTTCGTATGACATAAATATGGACTATTGGTAATTATTCTTAAAGCTTTCTTTTGCAATTTTAATATTTTATTCACATAACCTTTGTTTGCTTTCCCCCATAGCATAATCCCATAGTTAATGCGTGACAAAATAAGGGAATAGTACAGTATAGTAAAGATTTCTCTGGTAGGAAATGCTTCACTTTATTTAACACACCAATATTTTTAGAACACTTCTTCTGAATGTTATTGATATGCTGTTTCCAAGAAAGATTTTGATCTAAAACTACACCACCCTTGGATATATCCTTTACCCGTCTCCAGCACCAGAGGGACGTCTCCTGATTCTACCACCCGTTGGATATAGGCCTAACCTTTTCCCGTCCTATAGCGCCATCTGACAAATATATTCTAAGTGAGAAATTTTGCCAAGACCCACTTAAAGAATATTTTAGCAAACAGAGGTCTGCAGGCGGCAACTGCGAAAATCCAATTTCCTGAGGCTGCACATAGCAGGCCCACACGTTTCAGTGGCGTCAAGAGGAAATGTTACCCAGGATAAAACCAGGGATAGAGAGTACATCCTCCTGTCAGATGAGCCTCTACCTAAACGGCCAAGAACAATATCTCATTGAACCAGGAAAAATAAAAATCTACAGACCTATTTGGTCTATTGAAGTGATAAAACAAAAAAAGGGCAAAACCAAAACTATTTTAATAAATTAAATATTTCTTTTCATGGTTAATTGTGTCATTTGCCTACATCAGTATGTTAACGTTACAGATACATGTTTGCCAACTTATACGGATTGACCGTGAGACTCACGGATAATTTATCATTTACCAGTTTCACTACGGATGAACAAAAACTCATGGATTTCAAGGTTACTCATGGATCAAGATTTTTAAACTAATAAACAATGATTTACGAATTGCATATACAGTAATATGCAATAAATAGATCATTTGCCATTCGTCTGTAGTGTTTAGTGTATCAAAGAGTAACCTTCGGCTATGTACAAGCCCAGTACTCTCGACGTTAGAATCGTAAACAAACGACGCCCTTTACGCCCGCTACTGTCAGTGTGCTTTTATTACCCAGTAATGCATCGCGCATAGTTTGTTCATCTGTTTTCCACATGAAAGTACTGTACCCAAAACACTCAAAAATTCCATCTCCCGAAGGCAATTTATATAGGCCTTGGCTTGTTTACCGTCCGTCCAAACTCAGCCGGCAGGGCTTCTCCCTAGCAGTTCCATTCCATCATCGTCCCGTCTAGGCGTAGGCTAGCCTAGTCCTTGCTTCTATCTAGAAAAGGCCTAGTTTTATAGTAGTAGTATAAAAAGAGTGTATTTGTATACACGGTAGCCGATGCAAAGTTATTCTTTCCTATTCTTCCTTCTTTCTTTATTCTTTCACAATTTTTTGCATTTTTTTTTTTTTTTTTTTCATATTTTTCAAAATTTTATACACTCACATATAGTCATTTGTTTATTTAGGCCTAGGCTAGACCTTGGCTATGCCTATTACTATATTATTTAAATACAATTTTAATAGAAAGATTAATTTAACATGGACATAGTATTTCATACTTAAACAATACAATAAATTTAAAGTATTAATATATTAACGTTAAAGACCAATTAAAATGATGCATTTTGAGTTGCTGATAATTGAAGTATTGCATATGTTTATCAAAGGAGTAGTGATAAAATTCTAATTTTTTGGTTTTTAAATATTAAAAAAGTTAGTATTAAAAATATTCGTATAAGCCCCGCCTACTGAAGATGGTCAGTGAAGCGTGAGTAGAGCTGATGACGTACGCTCGATATAACATCCACAGCAATACCGAAATCGTATAGCGCGACACATGAAAGAGGAAAACAAGCGAAAAAAATGGAGCAGTTTGAGCCATACCAATTTGAGCCACTAGAAAGTGATTTTGAACACGAAACACCTGAAGACCAGGCTTTGATCGAAAAGCAACATCGATTAGGCAACACTAACTGGTAACTTAAACTTTACGAATTGAGTACTACACTACTGTGTTCTACTAGGGCCGACGGCCGCCTTACTTAGGCCTAGCATATAACACTCTACCGTCACTGTGCGTACGAAGGGTTACTGTTATTATTAATAATATACATTGTTTCGTCTACATTTGCATACAATTTGTACATAACAGATTCTTATGCAAAATTTTACATTACAATTTAATTTAAAAAGCTGAAACTGTCGATTTCTAAGGTGCACTGTATACGGTCTAGGGCCTTCGATGACAGTAAACGAAGCGCCGATTCGGCGATCATCACGTCACGTTGTCAATTGGCTTGTTCATGTTACCGACTACAATAAAAGTTAAATTTCTTATTTTAGTTGGTATATACGAACTATATAATACTCACAAATCGTTTTCGAATGTTTATATAATAATTACTGTTGGAATTTCCAGCGTATGATCACCCTAGGCCTTGACTGGAAATATCGTAAACAAGCACTCATCGCAAATATCGCCGACGACTTATAGCCTATTTTAGCCTGTAATCAGTTTTATATAGGCCTACTGATTTTTTTTTTTTTTTTTGTTTATTAATTCCTCCGTGATCTTTAGTCCTATTTTATTTATTTTTGATAGATGATCAATACAAATTACCATAGATTTATTTTTATGGTAAAACAGGTGCAATAGTTAGTTATTTTTAATCAATGAATACTCATTAACATAATTTATATCATACGACATAAGGGAGGCATTTCAAAGCATATCAATGTTATGTATGTATTGAAATATTTGCAGCTCATTATCCTTTGTTTTTATTATCATCAAGGTGCGAATGTGGACACTGTCAGGAAATAAATGCTATCGAAGAATGTCTGTGCTGTCACGAGGTTCCAGATGTGGTTGCAACAAGAGACAGAAATATTACTGTGACTGGTGATCTGAATTGCATTACTTGCCATCCAGGTTTTGAATCAAACTGTCTCGATGTATGGAGTTTGCAGATGGCTAGGAAGAACACTCCAAAGAAGTACACGTGCAGTGAAAAGAAATCAGCCCATGAGTAAGTGGTTTCTGAAGGCTACATATAAACAACTACTGTATTGTTAATTTATACAGCAAGCTACACACAATATAAATGAGTAAACAGCACCACACGCAGAAATAAACAGTTACACAGTACTAGTTATAGTCACGATTAGTAAAGCAATTTTTATTTCGAACACATTTTAAATATAAAAATCC